GTTGAAGACATTGATGACGACGTTGTTGTTAGAGGTTGAGTTTAGGTTGGGACCAGGAAACTGACCGTTAATGAGGATCACCTTTTGAGGAACACCGAGAGGTGAGGCTGTTCCGTAAGTCACGTTCCATGTATAGAAGAAGTAAGGATCGCCAGCGTTCACTATAGCCACCGTAGAGACGAGGCAGACCAACACCGTTAATAACCTCCCCTCCATTTTCTTTTCTCTTTTCCTAGAGGAAAAGGAGACTAATTTTGGTTTCTGTGTTACGTATAACTAACCCTTTCCTAAGCAAGCTCTGCTCTGATGAATACTCTTGTAATTTGGGTGTTTCAAAGTATTTATGCATGGAAACATAACTTCTATTGCAAGATACCGTTACCATATTTTGCGTTCCATCTCTAATTCAGTTTTCTATATGTGAAAATGGTGAGGCAACAAACATCTTTATCTCTGTTTCTCTTTCTGGTTTTGAAGGTTCCAGAACTTAAATCACAACAGATCGTATTCTAATATTGGAAATGTTCCTAAGGATGCATGTTTAATTACACGTCAAAAAAAATGTTGACATGACAATGGTAACCAAAATAATATTACCTCTGTTTCAATAAGATGTCTATTTTAGTACACATATATTAATTTTTTAATAAATTTAAAATATTAATGTATTATTTTTTGTAATATACTATTTTATAAAACTTTTGATCAATAATATTTTAATAAATATTTTGAAGTTTATAATTTAACATTAACTAATGAATTGAAAATATGAAATATAGATCTTTTAAAAATAAGACTTTTCTTTAAAACATGTATTATATTGAAACATAGGAAATATTGTAAGCTTTTTTATGGGTAACATTTTTCCCGTCACCGCCAACAACATAATCTCTGTTTTTAAATAAAACAATATTAATATTTAATAAATTCAGTTTCATATTTAATTAAATTGTAATCTTTGAAAGTAAATTGACAAGTGTTATTAGAGATTCTTATGACTATCTTATAGTTTCTCATTTTAATCTCGTTTTTATTTTTGATTTATTTATTTTAAAATATTATTTATATACAACTAATGGAAGTGTATAATGCTAGAAATTCCAAATATTAATACTACAAAAAAGCATAACTTTAATAAGGAAGAATTAAGAAAAGATGAACTGTAGTAATAAACTTCAATTTAAAAAGCCCTAGCTCTCTGACGGCGACAAGAATGGAGGCAAGGAGTCCAGCCCTCGCTGCATCTCATTCTGCATATATTTCATCACTCTTTGGTGATCGATCTGCAGGGGAGAGCCTCGTCTACGGCTTCTCATTGCCTGGTGTTAGTGATGATAACATGAAAACCTTGCCGCTCTGTATGCATTCATGAGTTTCGACTTGAAGAACAGAGACGACGCTGCTGTTGAATCACCCCTTGGTGATCACAGACCCCTACAGATCAGACCGGCCTTTGTCGTCTGACTCTGTGACTGTTTTTTATCTGTTTCGATTGCGTAACCCACAATCATAATCACTCCGTCCTCCTGTTATCGATTGCCGTTGAATTCATCGCTCATACCCCTCACCATCATCGCTCATCATCGCATCATCATCGCATCATCAGCGCTCACCATCATCGCTCATCATCACTGCTCATTATCATCGATTCGCCATAAGATACCATAACCCATATCATAAGTATGGGAAATGAAAATCGCTCACGATATGTCCATCAGATGGACACCAAGGGCAAGCGGATTCTTTACGCTGATGATGACTCTCCAATTAAGTTAATTGATCAAGATGATTCCTTTGTAATCAAGGAACACCGCATGTCTTTGATCGGAAAAGTCTTAAACCCTAGGAAGCAAAATGTCATTAAGTTGATAGAGAAGATGCCTTCTCAATGGGGTGTACAAGATCAGATTACTGAAAATGACTTGGGGAATGGGAAGTTTCTCTTTAACTTCACCTCTGAAGAAGATCTGAACCACGTCTTGCGCCAAGGACCTTTTCACTTTAACTTCTATATGTTTGTGCTGGTGCGCTGGGAACCTATTGTGCATGATGACTACCCATGGATTATTCCATTCTGGGTCTCCATTTTCGGGATGCCTTTGCATCTCTGGACAGATAAGAACTTGAGAAACATAGGTGGCCGGATTGGAGATGTTGATACCATCGAGTTAACAGAGGGGAGCATGTTAATTTTTGTGGATTCTAGGAAGCCATTGAAGTTTAAAAGACAAGTTCAATCACCTGAGGGAGATGAGGTTTCCATTAAAATCAAATATGAGCTCATGTTTAAACATTGCACTACCTGTGGCCTTATGTCACATGAGAAAGGCCAATGCTTGGATGAACCGAGGGACAATACTAATGCGGGGCGTGGAGATGTATTCTCGCGGGTGCAGGCGCCTCAGGATCAGCCCATTCGCCCGAGACAGGAGAATAGAGGTTAAAATGCTGGCGTCAGCTCAAGACATATCCCTTTCGTCGACAAGATTTCGGCATCCTAGCTCTCCGTATTGTTATGGACATAGAAACCATGACGAGTATGATGCTCGACGAAACAAGTATGGGCAACACTTAACTTCTCACAAGGACTGGGTCATGAGATACCGGGATGACCGCAAAACATATAGACAGGGAGACACTCGTCACAGGACAGGCCCATACAAGAGACATAATGATCATGTTTGGCGTCAGAAAAAACAGGATGGAATATCAGGGTAAGAGTGGGATGAGAGACATGGAAGACCTTCTACACCTTTAGGAGATGATAGTGTTGCTCCCTATGGGTAACCGGCTGGATCAGTTGTCCCTGCACTTGCTACGACATCTATACCTCGCAATGCTATTGATAAGGGAAAGGCGAGTACTTCAGGGAGGCGGCTTACGAGCGCTATTGTTTCCCCAACTGGCACCGCTCATGTGCACGAGGGGAACATTACCATTAGAGAGAAAGAGGCAACAAGAGCTCTAACCTTTTCACCAAATAGCCTTCAAGTTGAAGTTAATTGTGGGAACCGAAATTCACCTACTGTCAAGATTACGTAAATAAGGGAACTTTGAGTAAACCCTAAGTTCCCAGAGGATCCGGCTATCTGCGGAACCGCACAAGAACAATTAAGAAAACAATGAATGCGAAATTAAAGTATAAATAAACGAGATTAAGAGCAAGAAGGATCTTATTCTGAATCTGCGTAAGAACGGTTACAACTAGAGTGGCCTTATCTGCGTGAGCCGTCGGCGAAATCCCTAACTCTAGTAGTCTAAGACCAAAAACCCTAGTTGAGACGCAGCTCGATAACAAAAACGGAAAAATTCCTAAATGCTAAGTTTGGTGGTGAAAGCTTTGAAAACTCATCCCCTGCTTCTGCCCTATGCCTCTTGCTTATATACTCCCTTCCTAGGCGGTTTCTTCTTTCCATTTCGCCCAGATTCGAGTTTATAGAGAATCTTCCATTTATCTCGATCTTTCATTTTTCCCGCGGAAATCTTCTATTTATCTTCAAACTTGCCATTTCCCTTCAAACTTGACTTTTATCCTCCTCCTGCGGGTAAATCGTCAAAACGTTATCGTATCTTCGGGTAAGATTTCGTTAAAGTCGCGAGATGGGCTTTTATTACGTTTTAGGACCTTCCGAACCGTTCTGCGATAAATCCGTTTCACGACTTTGTACGAGACCGTTTCCTGATACAATGCCGTTTTTAATAAATTCCTCGAGCTAATCATAAAGTTTAGCTACGTTCGCTTTTCGGTTAATCATTGCCGTTTTTACGATTCACTCGACGTTTTTTTTTTATAAAAACGCGTTTTTTACGATTTTACGAAAAACCTCAAATAAATCGTATAGTTTAGGAAATGTTCGGTGTTTCGTTTAACCGTTGCCGTTTTATACGATTTCCTTGAGTTCTTTTCGAGAAAACAAAGTTTTATGGTTTCCGTCGCAAAACTCGAACTGTAAGACGGATCGAGATGAACGGGAGACATTTCGACCGTGGTTCGGGACATGATCGTGTTGAAGGACGTATGCCTTGAATATGGAACGTGGGAGATCGAGGCTCGGGATGGTCGGCTCGACGTACGACGAGCCGAACTGGATCGGTTCAGCTCGCCGTACGGCAAGCTACCTGGGAAGCATCTAGCTCGCCGTACGGCGAGCTAGTTCGGCCAAACTAGCTCGCGGTTTATGGCGGTTGCGGTTTTTCGCGGTTTTGCACTTAACTTGGACGATCGTGTAATCGACGTTTGTTTCGTTCTTCCGAGATAATGATTTTCAAGTCTTTCCGCGGATTTCTCTCGTTCGGAAACTTCTTTGATAAAACGATTTCTCAAGTTTTATAAAACGATTTCTCGAGTTTTATAAAACCATCTCTTTGAGTTTTATAAAAGGATTTCTCGGGTTTTATGAAACGATTTCTCAAGTTTTATAAAACGACTTCTTGAGTTTTATAAAATGATTTCTCGAATTCTATAAAATATTTATTTTTATCTTTTTGCGGAAAGTTTTAGCTATTGATTCCATCGTACCGATTTTGACCCCAATAGTTAGCCCCCAGCTCGTAAGAATCGTGGAGTTCTTGCAAGCGGATTTAACTTGTTCGGCAAATTTGGTAGAATTAGGCGGAACTTTAATGGCCAAAAGTCCAAAGGTGAATAGTAAACTTTTTTCTTATAAGTATATGGAGTAAATTTTTGAATTCTTTACTCATTCTCCATAACTTTTTCTAAGAAATTTTCTCTCTACTTCCTTTGAATTTATTTCCCTCATAGTTGCCAAACATGTTTTCAAAAAGGAGAACTCGTTCCTCAATCAGTTCCGATTGTCGCAGCTCTGAGGGAACGAGCTCACAACCTCAAGTTATGATGCCGACAGAGGAGTCCTTGTTTCCTTCGATCGATCCGAGAGACCACGGGGCGTATTGGGCGCTAGGGGATGAGTCGGGATCTGCTAGACCTGAGACCTGGGTTCCAGCTTTGTTTGATGCCAATCGAACTCCCGGATTCCCGAATTCAGCTCCTCTTAATGGTTTTGAATCCATGCAGAGTTTTTCCGAGTCCCATAAGCCGTCGAGTTTCGCCTCCCGCTTGCCGGGGAGAGCGATAAGGCTGCGCCTGATGGCTTTTTTACGTGCTACAACGTATTTTTGTGGCAATGTCATTTATGGTTTCCGATCCCAGAGATCATCGTTCGATATCTTCATAGGCTGGGATTATCGATCAGCTAGTTGACTCCGCGAGGTTTACAACAACTCGTTGGTCTTTTGACGCTGAGCTACGAGTGGGGAGTGACCCTTAGCGTTGACCATCCTGAGGGTTTACTGAGACCCGAAGAGAAATCGCAAAGGATCAATTTACGCCCCGTGCGGAAATTGTTACTGGTTGCTCGTTGAACTATCCTTCTTGGAAAAAAAATTTTCTTCTATGTGCGTATTGACAGCGCGTCAGTCTAGGAGGACTGCATCCCATTTTTCGCTACCACGTGGGGTCGGAAAGGTATGTGATTCGAGTGCATACGAATTACCCCCTTCTCGTTTCTTTTTTTTATTCGCTTTCGTTTTTTGTAGAGACCAACCCTTTACCTCCGTACCCCGCGGATCTTCCGGTTATCACTTCCTCACTTCAATGCGGGGAAGTTGGCTGGGGTAGTTTCTCTCTGCAGCGTGTTCGCCGTGCGGTTGCACTCTTCCGATCTCGGCTTTTTGCGGATTCTCCGATTCATGAAGAGGATCCTTTCATAGGAGAATTCGTCCCGTACGTGCCTTCAATGAGGAGGGGTGAGTCGAGATCTCGGAAGGATAAACACTTGATCGTTGAAGATGACACGTCCGACCGTATTGCCTCTCCCGAGAATATTCTCAAAAATTTCCTTGACAGTCAGGTGGAAGAAGGCGTTTGGACGAATGCGGGCAGATCGTCGACCTCCAACTTTCCGGGTAGCGATCCTGATCATGTTCTGGAGTTTGCTAGAGGGTCTGAGCAAGCTAACGAGGTTTGTGGTTGTTTTTTTTATGAGCGATTTTATTATCGGACGGTTTCCCTTATCCCCCTTTTTTTTTTTTGACAGAGCCTTCTTGCCATGGGCCGGGCCCTAGATAAACGTAGTGCCGAAACTCGTCTTGCTGATTTTCGAGCAGATATGGCGGAAAAAGAAGTTGCTCGCCTTCGAGCGGAGATTGAGGTCAACCAAGCCGAAGAAATGGTTGAGAAGGAGATAGCTCGCGTGAGGGGCGAGTGTGCGGCTAACTCTCGCCGTGTCAAGAAGCTTTCCGACCAGAGAGTCCGTTTCGCCCGCCGTGCAGGCAAGAGGAAATGAGGGTCCGTCGCGAGCGGTTTTCGACTGGTTACTCAAATTCCGAGGTCGCTCATCGGGCCAACGGCGATTACCTCGAGTGTCGCGGTGTTGTTCATGGGTTGTCTCTTACTCAGAATGTGGGTTATTCGTATGCTAAAGAGTATTCCTTGCAGTTGGAGCGCTTGGATCAGAGGAGAGACATGCAACCTGAACTATTTGATCTTAGGGCGCGCTTGTGGGATCACTGGAATCCCATCGTAGTGTCGCTGGATTCAGTCGAAGTCGGGACTGAGATTCTGGATGCGAGTGGTGAAGTCGATCGGCCATGGATCGATGCTAGCGATGGCCAGGGCTCGGCGTCCGTGTTTGATGATTTCGATGTGTGATGTTATTGCTTTATGATTTTGTTGTTGTTTTTCCGGGACTGGCCGTTGGTGGCTTTGAATCTCTGCCGCTGGGCAGCGTGTATCCGAATGAAAACTTTTAATAAAAAGATTTTCTAAGTCTGAAATCTGTGTTTTGTTTTAGATGTAGAGGGAAGAGTACGAGTTGTCGTCTCACATCTAACTCTTGGTGTAGATCGTCCGGTTCGTTTACTCGGAATGTTTCGGTTTCCGCGAGTGTTTAGATGTGGGCAAAGAGACATGCCTTTAGGATCTCGATTCATGCCTTGAGACGTTAGAGACCAGTGTGCTGGGTTTAGGGCAAGACCTAGGTTTACTTTCGGATTGAGGCTATGCGATAACTAGTCGGCTTTCGTTTTGCATGTTGCGATTTTAACATGATTCCATACCGATTTAGAATCCGCGATAGGTTCTCGGCTTATACGATTTGTATGGTTGGAATCGAGCATCTCACCGGGAACAATTTCTAAGTTTCCCGGAAGTGCTGACCAAAAATTTGGATTTCTTCTATAGCGCGCTATTTTATCCTAGTCGGATGTATGCGAACCAGTAGGTCAGTGCGTTTGTTTAGGACGGCTAGAGTGCTCGACGGGGCCAATCGCCGAGCGTTTGTGTTTTTATAGTCGCGGACAGACATAGTGAAATATTTTTCTCAAGAATTTAGGCGACGTCTCGCCGGTCTTCTTTGAAAATATTTGGTGTACAAGTTTTTATAGAGATGATTAAGTAATTGTTACTGCGGAAGGATTTTCCGGATGTTTGGACTTTGTGTTTTTTGATAGTATAGGAAATTTTATAATGTTCTAACTTTGCCTTTATTAAAAAAGTTCTGAAAGTTTTTTGATTACAAAGTTAATGTTATTAAAAATTTGGGAGTATACGAATAGTCGTATACGCACCCACTCCCCCCCCCGCCCCGTTTTTGAAAGGGGGATAGCTGAACTCGTCTTTAGGCGAGCTGCCTACCTATTCCTTTCGGAAATCAAGCCATCTCGTAGTTCTGATTGTTGGTGCGAGTATGCTTACTCGG